TAAAATTATACATACATGCATTTATAGAGTGTATCGTGAATCACGCAAATTAATTACATCGCGATACAGCTGCGTGAATACGTGTCCAAACGACAGGTTTATGGTAAAAGAGGTTTATTGTCTCACCATGGCCACCTAGCGTCGATCTCGGATAAGAAATTGTTATTAAACCTGTGGAGCTGTAATTTAGCGTGCGTTTGACGTGATTTCTTGTTTCGTTATCGTGGGCTTTGTTTTGTTATCGTAGAAACACGAGAAGCTTGGTATTGGTGTGTTATATTCTATGACTTTAGATTTATAATAGGATTGGAAAAATAGGTATGATCATGTGTAAAATATTATTTCGTTTATTTATTGGATAAATTTTCAGTGTATTTTTATGTATTTTCATGTATGTTTTCGCATTTTTATATAAAATTTTCTTTTAAATTTATGAAAGACATGTGATTGTTTTTCTGAATCCTTAAAAAAGTTAAATTGATTGTACAGTGATTCTCTTTTTAATAATTTTTACAGATTTTTTTTAATAATGAATGGAAATATATTGAATTAAAGAAAATTTTGAAAATTAGATAAAATGAAAAATTTTATTTCATATTTTTTTTAATAGGCTTTTGTCAATCATATCTAAAAAATTGTAACAACTTTACAGAAACAAATTACACTACAATATCCAAAAATCATAAAATTATTGATGAAACAAATGAATTGATAATCACATCTATTGGCTGAGTTGATTTTTTCTACAAATTAATGAGATTTTTTGAAACAAAATAAAGTGAAGATAAATCATGAATAGAAGCAATAATAATAATCTTTTTATTTTATGCTGTGCAATATGAACCTAAAGAATAAGTGAATAGTCTTTTTGTGCCAAAAAGTTTGTAAATAGCATACTAGCTTCTCATTTCTAAAGTATATAATATATGATCGTGTGAAATTGTTGACAGATAGTATATGCGGACTTTTTATAGACAATGTCTATTAGTATAAATGAATTTTAATATAAATACGATCAATGAATGTCACTAACATCAGCACATTCATAGTCTCAAAATGCTAAGTAAAAAATTCATTTATCTACATGTGAGTAAGACAGGTTATTGCTATCATAGATAATATCAATTCACAAACTATTCTAGAATTCATATTTTATCTTTTATTATCTGCAAAACCGTATATAGAATCGCAATATAGAAATAATTATATTTGTCTAATTGAATTAATATAAATCTTTACGCATATTTAATTTAACCTTTATCCACAAATAGTCCATAATCTGTAATCATAAACAATCTATTATTAAGAGGCGTTATATTATCTATACACTCTACACCAACTTTTACCTTATCACTTATCACATTTATCATTATTCACTGACAAGTTCGTGCACAATCTATGCCTGGACGAAAAACAACCGAACAAATTATTGCGTCGCGTATGTATACCAAGAAACACCATATATCGAGCGAGGAATCTCCAGTGGACGCCAATTACAGCATATTAAACTCTTATCGATCATGCCCTGTTTTTCGTCCCGTTCCGCGGCGCCATTAAATTCAGGAATCTAGTCGCGGAATGTCGTCGCATGATCTCGCCAGAGGGGAGCACTAGCGCGAGGCCAGTAGCCTAAGCAGACGATACTATTCATGGCGGCGCATAAGTGGCATTCTTCGACCCGTTAAGATCGAGCAATCGATCGCTGTTCAAACATTTCTTCGATTATATGGAATGGTTCCCTACTCTTGCGCGAGATTAAAGCTACGCTTTATACGGTGAAGTTATTCGTCGAGAGGTTTGAATGCCGGTCGCGTGTGAATTCTTATCTGGAACTCATAATATAGCTCTTTGGAACTTGACGAAACAACGGTGCCATTACGTTACTGTTGTCGTCTGCCTCATTTCTCGAAAAAGAAAAAAGATAGATATACTACAAGTTCTGTTTGTAGCGATAAGTTATGCAGCATAGGTAAAGAGTATTTAGTATTGTTCTTGTGACTTTACGAGCCGAATGTGATTCGAAAAAGAGACTCGTGAATAAAAAATTTGTTAACTTAATATTTTGTTTATCAAGGAAAGACGAGACAG